GAAAAAAATAATTTCACTTACACTTCAGCCTTATACAAAGATCCTGGAGGATATAACGGTAACAGTCTCCCTGCATCGGGCTGCTAAACAGGATTCCTCAGCTCCAATTTAATGCAATAATAGAGCTGAAAGATTCCCAAGGACTGACCACCAGCCACGTCTAAATGATGCCAGCAGATGCACATGCCAAATTAGACCATCTAGGCATCTGACACAGTAGGGAAGTTTTTACAGCACCCCATCATATTTTTATAGAATTCTCTTGGTTTTTATCTTTCTGAAACTCTGCTGGCCTCTTCATGCTTCCTTCAACAGCCAGCAATATGATGCAATTATACCACTTCTAACAGAAGAGCAGTAAGAATAATTAGGAGCTACAAGGAAATGTAGCCTGTTTTCCCCCACCACAGAGCCCCGTAGAGTTATGTACTTGTTCCACGGGGTGGACGTGGTGCCTTTAAACTATAAAGCTAAGGAACATTACGGTGCATTTCAAAGGCCTGGGAGCCAGGCAGAGTTTTTCCACTGGCTTCATTGGATTCTGAATCAGGCCCCTGTAAATGACACTAATCTCATCGTAACCATGATTTGATTCCTTCTAATTGGCCACCCAGTTTACTTTGCAGTGTACAACTTGGCACTTCTTTTGGGTTATTGCTCTCCCCTTTCTTTTACATGTTAAGTAGCTTATCCTGTATGTTCCTTCATCCCATTTTTTTTGCTTTAAAGGGCTGTGTGAAACTCTTCTGCGTCAGCCCTGCCTTTATGGAAATTGTGGGCAGTCTAGAGCAGTGGGTTGGAGAAGTGCTGGCATAAGGAGCAGTGACTCCTCTAGCACTGAGCAATATTTGGGGAGCTATTTTAGGGACAGGTGCAGCTGAATGGCCATGCTTCTACTACACTGATACGGGGGGCCTCAAAGGAGGATACTGACAGCCTCATGCATCTCAGGACTAAGTGATTCTCTTACCACGATTGACATGGAGTGAGACAGATGGGGACTTTTTGTCTCAGATTTTGGATTCATGTCTACCTGTGTGAACCAGCAGAGTGCCCAGATCCCTTGTTATGCTATGAGTAAGACTTGAGCTCTTGGGTTTCATGAGGGTGGATAGCTGATTTGGGCCAGACACACTTCCTCCTTCCCTGATCATTGTATCTGAATGACACTTTCCATTTGACCATTCAGCTCAGTTCTTTTTGCACTTCCTCCTCCTTACTTACTTCTCCCTTACTCAGGATATCTCAGAAACAGTCAGTTATCTCTTGCAGGAAAAACAGAAAGGACAGCAGAGCTGCAAATGATGTCTGTGTACAGAAGCCAGAGCAGCAGCTCTCCCATCTGCCATCACAGAGTGTGTTTCACTGGGAAAAATCATTACTTCCAGGGTCAATTTTTTTAAGGCCATACTGAAATCTGTTATGAAATCCAAGCAAACAGATGTTGGATTTTATTCTAGACATTGACAGGAGTTGGTTTTTCATCAGCTGAGATACCAAATTACAGTCAAAACAGAGTGTTCCAGAAATCAAACATCCTCACTGCACCCCATGCATCTGCATATAAACCCAACCGACAATAACCACCAGACATGAGCACACAGCAAAGGTGGGATTAATGACAGTCCGTCATGGGGAAATAGGCCCTATGACACACCTGAATACCCCTGTTAGGAAGCCAGTTTGGAACATGCCCAAGTTTCAGATAATTTAATGTACCTACTGGGCGACTATTTACTTATTTATTTTTTAAATCACATGCCAGGTACAAATGCTCAGAGCTAAATCATGCAGGGGTTGGATACAAAGTTACACTGAATTTAGTGGAAAGTCAGTCACTAACTTCAGTGAACTTTGGATCCGTTCCCTAACCTAGCAGCAGCGCAGAGAGTGTCACACAGCTTTAGAGGTGAGGGAGCTGTGGAGCTGTGCTTGAGGTTCAGCTAGTGCCATAAATATGCTCTCATTTCATCACTGTGCCACGAGAGAAACACCACGCAGAAAAGTTGACTTTTATGTTACTTTTTACAACGGTAAATAGTGGAGTGTAAGCTATTAATAGTGTATTAGTTCTGGAGACTATTTAGTTTGGTCTTATACCAGATTTTTCTCCTCATGTAATTTCTACTCCTGATTGCTGGCTTTTGGGGGCTGTATTCACAGCTCCTGAATAAGAAGAAACATACTGTGCTAATTCACTGAGATCATGTGGCACAAACCTGACTGCTGACCTTCACTCTTCTGTGACTGAACTGACAACCACTTCGCAGTTGTATGGGTCTGACCTGTCCTTTCAGACATGAAACAGAATTCTTGGGCATGTCCCACTGGGAGCATCTTGACATTCATTCATTATTTCCAGCAATACTGTGTGAGTTAGTGGTCAAATCCTATTACAAACAGACTATATAACATCCATGCAAATTTGCCACAGGTACAAACTCAGATTGCTATCACGATTCCAGTCTGGTCCTTAGAGCTAATACGAGGCTTCTGGTCACAGAATATTCCTGATCTTTGAGATAACTGCACCAGAAAACATATCCATTGTTTTCTAGGCACATTTTATTAAGCAAACTGTAACTGCAGATTGCCAGAAAGATTATCAAGTGTCAGCTAGTAAGACCAAAAAAGTCTCAGAGTTGGCCCTGCGTCAAGGACTCTCAAGGATCTGTTAGGTCTTAGGATAATTGTCTGCAATGCAGGGGTTTGCAAGGTTGGGCTTAAAGTTCTGCTTTAAATGAGGAACTGGTTAAAGACTGATGAGATTTGGCAACTATCAGGCCTTATTTCTAGTCATTTCACCCATAAATCAGCCTGTTAAGATGAAGCTTTGAAAGTACAACAGGAGAACTTCATTATTTGATAATTTATAGTGCCGTATGTAGTATACTCCACCTTGGGAACAGTTACTTTGGCATGCACCAATCTTTCTGGATAATCTGCATTACATCAGTGTCTCAGGAATGTAAGACTGTGATTGAAGCAAATCCTAGATACAAATTATATGGTGTAACTTGTATTAGGAGAGACACCAGAACAAAGAGGTGGCTTTGTCATCAAGGAGATTAATATGTGAACAGTGGCTACTGTATCTTCATTTAAATGCTGGAGAGATTTGCAAGAGGAAAGCAGCTCACACAGGAAAATGCATTGTTAGCCATTGTTATTATTCCCACAAAGAACAGAAAGTTTAGTGTGAACTTCAGAATGTCACTGATCTACTACAAAACTGTTCTCTTGGTTCACATTGCAATGAAAGGCAAATTCCAAGGTAAAGGAAAAATTATCCCATGGCTGAAAGTACTGATCTCTGGGCACTGTACCTTCATATCTTATCCCTGTACACACATGAAAATCAGGTGTGAGAAAGTCAACAATGCTCATCCTGTTACCAAACTTTCCAAAAGTGCTTTGAACAAAAATCTCAGTGTAAGAAGCCAAGGAAATCAGACTGCCCTGTGTACCTGCTGGTCATGGCCAACATATCTTCCTTAATATTTTAGGGATAAGTACCAGCTGGGCATCTCAGTTTCCATGACCCTTCCCACCTTGCACCTTTTGCTGAGTGCTAGTTGTTGCAGTGGAGTGGAAACACTTCCAGTGGTAAATACATGTCCATTTTCTGAATAGTTGTGATGATTCTCACTTGTTATTAGCTCAAGAGTAATTCCTCCATCAGCACCTGTCCACTTCCAGCCATGGGATAGCTAATTTGGAAGAAAATCATTTCACTAGGGAGCCATGGATAGATTTCAAAGCCTCCTACTATTGCTGTGAAGTTGGTTGCTGGGATTTCTAACTTGCATGTTCTGCTTAAACCCTTATAAGACATTCCAGAGTTAGCCCTAGGGTTTTATTTTCTCATAATTTAGATGTACACTTTATTGACCAAAAAGAGTTCCTTGTGTTGGCTAAAGATGCTCCTAGCCAGCACTACTGTTCAAATATCCTTTCTTTCTTTTAAGTATGTGCTGGACAAGTAACGTACACAATAAAAAGCCTGATTTTTGACCATTTTAAAAAGAAAAAGTGCTAGCAAAGATACACTCTTCATTTCCCAAAATGATAGTTACAACAACTGGCATATCTCACCTTATTATGTTCTGCCATTAAAAAAAATCCAAATATCTGTGGTCCTTCTTGTGGATAACAAAGAAAAGGCAGCAATGAAAATATTGATATGGCTGAAAAAAATCAAGAGAGACAGATGCAGGTCTCATTCCCAGTGCAGGTCTTTGAGCATTACAGGCACAGCCTTGGAGTCTGGAGAGAATAAGCCAATGATAAATCAGCTACCCAACAGATACAAGCCGAAGAGCTCTTCTTTATTTCTAGGCCCTGCGTACAGTGGCAGGGAGACAGAGATGGACTTCAGAACAAGTCTGTGTTTGTTTTTGAAAATTTATTTTGTAGAAACAGGTACAGGGCATGCTGCCAGTCAAAAGTAAACCTCAGTCTAAACAGTGCGTTCTGTTTGCCTACTGAAGACAGCCAGCTGCATACAAGTGTATGTGATGTTTAGCATCACAAATAAAGGCTTTTGACCTCCTCCCCAAAAAAAGAAATGGAATCCATTTACAGCTGGATCACCCTGGATCACAGGTGGCAAGATCTGAACTGCTGGACCTCCTATGAGGCATTTTGAATGTTCCACCATCATGCCCCACCAAGGTGGTAGAACCTTATCTGTGACATTAAGGTTGGAAAAAAAAGAAATAGGCCCAGTGCTTTTTAATTGATTAGTGAAAATTTGGCTTGCTTTCATGCAGATAGGTTTTCTAAAAGGAAAGGATCTGTATTTTATATCTTTGACAAACCAAGCTAATTAGTAAAAGGATTTGAAGTTTATCCATGGCTTTTGATGCCAATCTCCCCATCTAATCCAACCAAAGGAAGACAAAGAACCAACACCAAAGGATGTCACCAACACCCACTGCAAACAGCATTCAAGTATCTTACACGAGAAACACTTGGGAACAGCCTTTGCCTTTGCCATCACACATGTAGAAACCTTCTTACATTGACTATTGGTTACTAAGAAATAGAAAGGAGTTGGTCTGGATTTAGTTCAGTTAATAGGGCTTGACAACGTAGTTTGCAATCACAGAACATATAGGGACCAATCCTGCAGTCAATGGAGTCCTACGTGCAGAGCAGCTGAGGATCTGGCCCAAAGGCTGCAGCTGCAATTCCCAAAATAGATACCGCTCCAAAATAATCAATGTCTTGATATTTGAAGTCTATTCTCTTCTGAAATAATAAATCAGCATACTTGACTCAGTGTGTTGGCCTTGATTTGGATCACAGCAAGTTCATGGGGATTTGCCACCATCCTGTCCAATCATTTACATATCCAAACCCTGAATCTGTTACTGTAGTCATATTGTGTAATCTCCTTTGCCCTAACTTTTGTCAGATTTTTGTACGTATTTGCTTAAATGTCAGTTGAAAGAAAAAAGGCCAGTTTTTTTGTTGAGTAACCTCATGTTCATTTGTGATACCTTGGATCCAACCCTGGAGCTTTGCTTACTGCACAAGATTCAGTAAGTTAACCTGAGGACCTGATTCTGCATAACAGCAGTATATGAATAGAAATGAATGGGAGTAACTCACAATGCATAAAATGTTTGCAGAATCTGGGCTGGGAATCAGAAGTGAAACCAAGTCAGTTTTCAGTGTCTAACATGAAAGAAATCCAAAAGCAGGAAAACATGAACAGTGAACAATTAAAAGACTGCAAATATTCATTCTGCTTTAGTAGGCTAAGATGCTCATTAAAAGAGCATAATTTAAAGAAATAAAAAGCAATGATGCTTTTCAACCTAGAAGATTGTTTGGCATATCGTGGATGTCACTCTGTGAAACTATTCCCACATAAAATTCAATTCCCTTTAAAATTAATAAATAAAAATATCTAATAAATGTTTATGAGATTATAACTGCAAAAACAATTACCTTCTAGATTATGTGAAATGGATAGAGGTGGAAACATTGCATTGACAAAGAAACATTTTGACAGGTTTGCGCTTCCGAGATGATGAGCAAAGAAAAAAGGATCAATAAATGTTTGAACACTGACTATGATTCAGGCAGCCATCTCTTCTTATTAGGTTACAGGGCGTTGCGGGTGAAAGTCTCCTGTAGTGTCCTGGCAGACAAACCACCAGTTAAGGCTGAAGCTGTTCTGTTCCTACAGCCTTGTAAAGTTACTGCCCTTGAGCAATCTGTCTAGTTGGACAGGTGCATCTAGGTGCAACCTCCTGGCAGTGACCCAGAAGTTCCTTATTTATCTACACAAGATGTTTTGTAGACTCATTGGAAAAGATAAAAGACAGTTACTCTTCAGGAGCAATTAAGAAATTAATGAACAGCTATAAAATCTGCTACAGAAATGGAAAATAGTTTTTCTTTCAATGGAAATGAGAAACTTTTCCCACCATTTGCATTAAACGCAAATGTCTTGACATAAATAAGTGGAAAATAACTGGGACAAAAGAGGCAAAGGCAATAATGCAGGAAATCATTCAACATATTGGCCTAGCAAGGCAACAGCACAAATATGCTCCAGAAAGATGTGGTACAGGTGGGAAATCCTGCCTGCATGTCAGAGGAGGTGACAGATCACAGCTGGCTCCACAGATAAGGAGGAGGAGGGTGCAGAGGAAGAGGTCAGTGAACAAAATCAGAGCCTCGGACTTCAGTTCTGAGACCTTGATTAAAGGAAGCTGCTAAGCACTGGTGCTGCTTTAGTAACTAAACAGAATTGAAGTGTGTGCTTAAAGGGAACCTTTATGCGCTTTGCTGCACTCAGTCCTGGAGTAGCACGTGTTGAATGAATTTCTCCATACAGAAATGGCAATTCTGTATTCACTGAATGTGAAATATTTTTTTCCGGACAATTCCTTCCTCTTTGAGCAGCTTGCAAGTCCTGAATCTGGCTTTCCCTCCTTTGCCTGATTAGGATGTGTGATAACAGGTTTCTCAGAAGCACAATACAGAAACTCTGGAACAAAGACTAATTCAAACACCAAGCTGTATATACATTAATGTTTAACAAGAGTGGGGAAAGTCTTAACTCTGATCGGAAGCTCTTGTATCCTATAATGGATACTATCGCTGGCAGGGAATCAGTAAAAATATTCAGAGGGGAGTGCTCTTCAATTTAGTTGAGATATCTTGATTATAACATGAATCATCTGCAGCATGCAACAGGCATCATTCTGAGCTCTCGAAGAGCTCAAACATGGTGCTGACATCAGACTTCCCTCCTACTGGAAAAGATACTGTGATTTTGTCTCTTATTTAAAATCAACAGCACTGGTAGCATTCAAAATGAGAAACACAACTTCATTCTGAATTTCAGACAGAGACAACGGCTGGAATCTGGGCAACTGAATAAGAAGCAGACAGACTATCACGTTTGAATTGAGCTGGGTTTTGTTTTGTGTTTCTTATGTGTTTTTACTAGAGCAGATGAGTCCAATGCTATCCAAGAAGAAGAGCTATTACTACCACTCTTTATCTCTCCTCAAGCACTTAAGAGAACTGCCACTCCACTCAAGTGCTGCTGAGGGTTACTCACCCATGCCCTTGGTGTGGTTGAAGTCGCCTTTCACCACTTTACAGGTTTTGCCATCACCACTGCAGATTCCACAGCGATCCTCTTTGGCAGCTGAGCCAATGATTCCATCGCAGCCAATTTTCTAATGACAACAACCAGAGGTCCCCGTTATTTTGTTTGCAAGGTTAAAGAATCTCTAAACATTGAAGTCAAGACTAAGATAGACATCTGACTGAAAACCTGAGCGGGATGAGAACACTGTGAATCAGAGGAGCACTCGGAACGGTGTTGAGTTGGTTATTCGGCAATCCCCTTCTCTAACACTAAGAGCATGAACTTTGATGCAGAAGATTTAGCTGAAGAGAGTTCCACAGATTAGTTATTCCAGATATCATCATAGATTTCCTACTAACCCACTCTAACCTCCTTCAAACACAACAGGTTAAAACAGTATTTCATGTTCGCATAGCAATTTTCATCTGAGGAGCTCAAAGACATCCCAGAGAAATGGACCACTACTGTGATTCCTAGTTTAGAGAAAAATGTGACTTTCTTAAATGAAAATTAACCCAAGTAACCAGAATCCTGGTCATAGCCCTTCACTACACAAAAATTCAGCATGCTGTTACAAGTTTCAGTGTGCTGCTCACTGAATGAGCGCTGCTGTGGATTAGGATCTTAACAGGGAGTGTAACATTCATTCATTGTTGCACTTTTGCAACACCTGAAAAAAGACGTCATTAATCAAATGGCTCAAGATACCTGCAATGCAAAAGTACTTCAATGGATGCAGGTCAGGTTCATATTTGGCCAATCTGTACCATAATATTGCTTACAAAATTATGAAATTTTCCAGATGTTTGCACTGTATTAAGCTTAGACGTTCAACTGGAAAAAAAAATTAAAAAAAAAAATTTTCACCTAAATCTTCATTTTAAATGGTATTTTCTTAATTTTCTATCCCTACCTAAACTTTTTCCAACAAAAATCTGCAGCTTTGTTTCCACAGACAGGTCTTACTACATAGTCACAGTATTCTCCCTGTAGCTATAGAGATTGTCATCGTAATCTTCCTCATTCACAAACAATTTCCAGGTTATGATGGTGACCATTGCACATTTGTAGATCTTGAGGTTGATAAGACTTATTGTCATTAGCCTATGTAAATTGTTTTCTGTCCATGTAAGACCCTCAAAATAATCAGCAATTCATTCTTAAAACATAAATTTCTACTGAAATAAGAGTTGTCATTATGCAAGTTATTAGCAGAGATTCTATTATTAAAAATAAGTTAAAGATTTATTCTCTGTAGATAAACAGTTTCTTGGCAAATGAGCTAGCAGGACTGTCACTAATAATACTTATTTGAATAAGGCTGTTGCATTTCTTCCTTCCTTGCCTTCTTATAATAAAGCCAGAGGAAAGTTGGAGACATATCTTAGGGAACAATCAAAACAAACATTTTGAAAAATAGGGTAAGCAGGGAAATATTAAGAGAACTTGGGCTGTTTATCTGAGACTGTCTGCGTGTAGGCAATGTAATTTGGACCAGAACTCAAACGTTCCCCTTGTTTCAGAAGACACTGGCCACTGCCTAAGTCCAGATGTATTACAGAGATCAAAGATTGCCAGCATTCAGACGTGTTCTGATGCAGTGTTTGTCTGGGTAAATCAGTAGAGACAAACACATGCTGAGAAAGGATGATCATTCTAAACACATACAAGGGAAATGCTGCTCATTGACTACAACAGCATGTAAGTTGGTGGATAAGAACTACAGGAAGAAACCTGTATAAATGGGAGTTAAAGGAAGGTAGGAAGAAGACCATGGAGTTTTTGGCTGTTAAAGTTCTCAAGTCTAAACTTCACACCCATGTCCAACAAATAATTTTGGGATACTGAATGTGATTCTGCCCCCAAAACAGAAGGATGTCCCAGCAGTTCTCCTTCCAGGAAAATAAATATGATTTATTAATGGGGTTGCTGAAAGACAGCTGGAAATATATGCCTGCCTGCCACCCTGCTGAGATACTGGAAAGGCTGCATTTAATTTAAGATTTTAGTGCTATCTTTTATTGTACTGCATTGTTATTAGCACTATGTGAGCACACAAATGAATAAAGGGAACATAATGAGTGTTGAACCACATTTATTCCCAGTGCTACATGAGGAGTCTGTAGGACTATAACAGACATAGGCAAAGAATGGGGAGTTAGCAATCACATGCTTTGCATTTATGCTGTAGTTTCCCAGATAATGTAAACCAGTGCAAGCCAGCAAAGTCTCTGAAAGAATAAGTCCCCCCTCTTCTGACTCTGGGGCTTAAAACAAGCCATTTCCTCCCACATTTACTAGGTCACTGACACCCTTTGACTTGAGGGACCCTCTCTGAAGCATGGAAAGAGCATGCACTGAATCCACAAATATACCTCCCGAAGCCTTTGCTGGTTTTTACCTTTCATCTTCAGCCAAATTCCCCGTGAGTGAAGGAACTGGGAATGGCCCTTGCAGCCTTCCCTTCAAAAGCACCATCCCTCCCATTCAAAGGGTGGACTTTCCCTGTCAATCCAGGGCCTGAGGATTAAAGCCCCTATCAGATTTGAGGCAGGAAATGGCTTCTTACAAAGGAAAATCTTTAAAGAGAATAAAACTGTCTTCTTTCTTGGCTTCAAGATGAAAATTGGTGTGTTCTTGATACATTACGGGGGAAAAATACCTTGGAAGCACTTTACTCTTGTCTATATAAACATTAAAACCCATTTCCCCCTCCCCAAGCTTTCCAATCATTTCCAAAGTAAAAGTGTATTTAATAACAGTACATAAAGAAACAGCTTTTGTTAAGATTTGACAATGGATTTCAAAAGCTGCAAAATCATTTAGAAACACATTACAGTGACCACTTTGGTCACTCGGATCCTTTGAAAACCCCACTGCCACTCTTAAAACAAGCAAGGCCTTCAGCAGGGCCTGTTGTGATAGGACAAGGGGTAATGGTTTTAAACTAAAAGAGGATAAGTTTAGACTAGATCTAAGGAAGAAATTTTTCACAATGAGGGTGGTGAAACACTGGCCCAGGTTGCCCAGAGAGGTGGCAGATGCCCCATCCCTGGAAACATTCCAGGTCAGGTTGGACGGGGCTCTGAGCAACCTGCTCTAGTTGAAGATGTCCCTCCTCATGGCAGGGGAGTTGAACTAGATGACCTTGAAAGGTCCCTTCCAACCCAAAACATTCTATGATTCTAAGTGGCAAAGGGGAAGTAACAGGGCTGGAAGGGTGAGGAAGCAAAACACAGTGAGCATCACCTTTCCTGGAAGGAAAGTATCCGCCAGCAGTCCTTGGACTGTTAACTGAGAGATATGTCCAGCTTTCTCCAAGATGAGAAAGCCCCTCAGATTCCAGCACTGGGTGCTAGAGGCTTAAGCCTGAGCCCCACCAGACCAGGGGAAGATCTACTGAGTCCGTACATCATCAGCTTCTCACTGACATTGTGCTGGATGCTATATGTATTATACCGTCAATCGTTAAAACAGATAAAGCTGTCCTCAAACTGCAGAAAGCTTTCAAAAAAGTGAGGGCTTAATTAACTGTATGCAAAGGGAAAATCCCAAGCTTCACTGCTCAAAAGTCAAGTTTTCATAGTGCAGAAACAACTCCTTAAAACCCAGTTAGGGGAGTTATTTGATCTTTACTGTTTTTAACTTGTTTTGTGCTGCTTCCTGTATAGTCCAGCATACTGACCAAGGTAAGGTGAATTTTTAATTTAGAAGCAGAAGGTCAGAAAGCAGAAGCTTTACTTTCCGAGGAAAGAAAGACCTTGTAAATACCATCCTGTGTGTTTTCTGACCAAAGAGTTATCCTGCATCTGAGCAGATTGAGTCCATGGACCAGCCCATGCAGCAACAGCTGGATATTTTCAGTTCCACCAGTCTTGAATAGACTGGTGAGAAGGGAAGCAGTTTTGTATTCTTACCAAGGTGATCCATTAAGGAGTGAGCAGGGCATTTGGAGCTCACCTGTGTTCAGAAGAAAGAATAAAAAATAAAAAGCCAGCCTGGTGTAACCACCATCTGTTTAGCAGTCTGTGAGAGCATTCGCCACTGGCAGCCCTGTTCTTGGACTCTTGGAGCTTCCCTGTACCATCCAGCATGCACTTGGACAGTGATATCCATAAGTTTGGCAAAGGCACTGATGTTGACACCACCCAGGAGTTCCAGCTCCTGCCTGTAGTAGCTGTTGAAAGCCCGCAGTGCTGCAGAACTGCTATTAACAGCATCAATCGGACAAAGAGGAAGCAGATTTTAACGAAAGCCAGTGCCTTGCCCATATTAAAAGATGGGAGTGCTGTCAAGAAACTTAAAGATAGTCTTTTGGGGCTTCAAGTCCTCAGCATGGACAGTCACAACTATATCCACAGGTTTCTTAATGATCTTCAACACAGGCAGTCTCCTACTCTGACAGCGTGTTTTGGAACTATCCATTGACCTTTAAATTGGCAGGTAATTGTGCATTTGCTGAGCCAAAGGCCTGAAAGTCATTCTCTCTGAGCTGCTATCTCAGTTCACCCTTCCTTCTCTCCCTCCCCCTTCTTCTCAATTTTATAATTAAACATCTGAAAATATTGCTCGTTGGGTGGCATTTCCAGCTCCAGTCATTGCTGGCTCCAACATAGGAAAACTCCTCTTCTCTTCTGAATACACGTCACTTGGATTCTTCTGTGTGAACTATTTTCTGTATGGCTTGGATATTTTTTTAATGATATTTTTATTTGTATTTTCAATGGCTGTGCAAGAGCTCAATTGATACAGCCTGCATGAGTATGTTTTGCTACATAAACACAATTATTTTGTTATATACACCCACCCTGTGTAAGAAATGACATTGTAGGCTCACAAAACCGTAATGGTTCCCATATGCTGAACTAACTAGCTGTCTCAATGGATCAAATATAAATATTGATGCAACATGTGCCATTTTACAAATTAATCATGTACAGAGCATGCTGGTTATGACAGATCCATCTACACTGCCAATTTTTTGTCTATAATATCCAGTGTCCATTGATACCTCCAGGGATGGACCACATGAAACAGGAATGTACATATGTGAGCAACTGACATTCAGATCTGAGGGTAAGAGAATTC